AGTCCGTATCCCCAACGCCAAACTAATCAAACTTGAGATTTCGCTGACAGAAATGGCAAATAAATCTAAAGTCACTTTGAAGGAGATGCAATCTCTCGTTGGCCAATTAAACTTTTGCACCAAAGCGTGCGATCTTCCCGCGCCTTTAATCGCCGTTGTACAAAGGCAGTTTCATTTTATCCGCTCAATAAAAATCCACCAAAGACGATTTGCTCATGTGGCTCAATTTTTTGAATCACTTTAATGGCATATGCTATTTAAATTATGTCGATTGGTTAAGCAGTGATATTCTGCAATTGTATGCAGACAGTGTTGGGGGTAAGAACGTAGGGTGCGGGGCATACGGATTTCCATCCCTAATGGGACCAAATTCTCTACCCTTAAATGTCAGTCAGGTAAACAATACTCTGATATTATATTAAAGTGTTTTATAATGGAAAAGAATTGTCCATGAGGGAACTTTAAAAATGTCATTAATTAAGCAGTAGTTAATATAACAAAGATTGCATTAAGTCTATAACAAAAAGTGTTTTTTATTCAAAATAAAAATTCAAATAATTTTAAACAATTTTTTTTTTTTTTACCAGCTAAATTTTTACGGTCAAGATCTAGTAAATAACAAAATCTAAAAGAGTAATGCACTTTGTTCGTTATTTAGTATACCTATAGTATACCTATCAACGAAATATAATTTTAGATTTAAAGCAGAAAATATCCCAGGTTTATGTAATAATAAGATTAAGATTTCCATATTAGAATTACTGGCTATACTTTACATTTTATTATGCGGAAAATAGTAGAAGGATTGAAGAGAGAAAGACACTCCAAAGACTCACGTTTACCAATAACGATTCAGCTCCTCCATAAATTAATTAATACATTACCAGTTGTGTGCACATCGAGTTACGAGGCGAGACTCTTTTCCGCGGCTTTTTCCTTGGCTTTCTTTTTTCGGTTTTCTTCGAGTCAGGGAATTTACAGAAAGCTCTAGAAATTCAAAAGCAGCATTACTTAATAACGATCTCGTTATGAATGAGTCTTCAATCTACTTAGAACTTCACCTTAGGAGGTAAAAGACTGACCAGTACGGCAATGGCACACAATTAATTATTCCCGCTATCGGCGGTCCTTATTATCAGTTGTTACAACTGCGCAAGTATTAACATTTCTGATCAATTAATTTGTCATTTCGGCTGTAAACCGCTAACTAGATATCAATTTAATTCCGTCTTAAGTAAATGCCTCGCGCGTCTCAGTATATCTAGATGAAACTATAAATCACACTCCTTTAGAATTGGAACATCTACATACTACCATTCTAAGGGCGTTGATGACGAAACAATTAAAATGCGAAGAAGGTGGAAGTCAGATTGTTATCGCCTCTACATTAGGATCCCGGCAGTCTAATGGATTGACAGCTTGAAACTCTATCCTTTTTCGTTGCAGAACACTATCAAGTATTTGGATCATCGGGTCATCATTATTTTTATGGGCCTTTCTAGCTGCGATTGAATTAGGTTTCACATCTGACTTAAATTTCGACAGGCATAAAATATTGTGGCACGGTCAAAGAGGAACGCGCTGGTTTGGTTCTTTTAACTTTTAAAACATTTATTAAAAATATGATACTTCCGAACACTAAGATAATTGGTCACAAATGATAACACGGATTGCCTGGAAATGTGAAGGGAGACCCGAGGATTTCTAAAAAATGAGGTGCGAGTAAATAGCGCAATAGCAAAACATATTTTATATCATTATAATGGAGGGTACATTAAGCAGTCAAATATCCATCTTTAATCAATTACCGCCCCGACGGGTACGCTTCTCAACACTTGGTAATGAGCTGTTCCTTGAAATTTTAAAAGTGGGCTCACAACAATTATAAACTCCCAAAATAATGTGTATTCATTATGATATGTATCGGTGCGGTCACGGCTGGATTTTTGAGTAGGGTGTTAAAAGGACTAACATTTGTGGCGGCGTGCATATTTAATGAGTATCTATGCACGTTGTCGGTTTTAGCTTCCCACATATCATTTTGACTTGCGCCGCTGTTAACAGGGCGCAGCTCGAACATGATTTCGTGAATAATTCTGGAATGGAATACAAGGAACTTGTACATAATTTACATGTGAACATTGATTGATTTATTCGAATATTGATTGGCTTAACATGAGCATACTACAATACATTGATTTGATTGAACTGAATATTGATTTGTTGAATATTGTTTGACCATTGATTGATCAAATTGAATATATTATTGATTGAATTGAGCATTCATTGATTGAATTGAACATTAATTGATCGAATTGAACATTGATTCATGAATATTGATTGATGCATAAGGCTGAGGCAACTTCAGGAACACAGTTTCAAGCCAAACCTAAGTCTTATCCTGTAAAACTTTGACATGTGTACAGTTAAGCTATTGATCTGATTGATTGTTTGATTATTGATTGATTGTTTGTTTGCTTTGATTGGTTGCAGAAAACCAATTGGGTCGGCACCCACTGTTTATTTATTTTGCATTCCATTGATTTGAACCAGCCGTGTGCCATTATAGCCAAACAAAAATAAATAATTAAGAAATAATAAATGCACTGTTGCTTTTATGTGGAGTCTGTTAATCGGATTTATGCAGTGAATACGATATATATTATCCATTATTTAATGATTTGCCATATGAAATGCGCGCGCACTATACGCGCAAATGATCTGTATTCAGTTTTATAAACTACCCTCAAAGATACACGTCTGGTAATCAAAAGGAAAAAAAAATTGAATTTTCAATACCCTCCCTTTAAATCCCTAATTTCTTGAATTTTATTCTTGCTTCAATTTTGTCATTTTTAAACTTTAAAATTCAGGTTTTCCATGACTCAAAGACGTCGCCTTAGCCATGTCCGACTTCCCCCTCTACCCTTTGCCAAGTTAAGGTTACAGTAAGGAGGCGGGGTTTCCTAATTTGTACGCGCCGAAATGTTTACTAGCATCACGTCACGCAAAATATATGTGTTTTCAAATATAACACAAAATTTTAGAAATTATTTGCTATTTCAAACAGCTGGAACATGATTTCGTGAATAATTCTACATACAAACTTACTAATTTACATTGAACAGTTTTGATCGTTTGAATAAATTGGCTTAACATGAGCATATACAATACATTGATGCATCGATCGCATATTGATTTGTTGAATATTGTGACGTCATTTTGATCAAAAATATATTAGTTTGAATTGAGCATTCAGTGATTGAATTGAACATTAATTGATCGAATTGACATTTTGATGAATATGAAAAATCTCTTTTGTTCTCAAATAAAATATTATTTGCAGTAAAATAAAAATGTGTACATTAATATTGATTGATGTTTGATTGATTGAGTATTTTTGTAAACTTTGATTGCATTGTGCCAAATATTTTGGTTAAAATAACTGCATGACATCAAATAATTTGTTCATACAAAGAAATAAAAGATTTTCCAGGTTTCTTCTTTTTTTTGGGTCAAATTAAAAATAGTGTCCAACTAATATATCCAACATATAATACAAGATAATCACCCAAGTTACACAAAGGTAAATAAATGACATTTTTAAGGTTTTAGTCAAAAGATCAAAGTGAGAAGGATATTTAATAGTTTGGTTAATATTCATCAAACTTCATAAATAGGTAATTAAACAAGCTTCATAAATTTTGATTTTCAGGTAAAAGATTAGCATAATTTTTGCTATACCATTGTTATCCATGAATATCATCACACCTCTATTGACTTTTCAGGTTAAAGGTTAATGTATTCCTGCTACAGTAAAACTTCATTATAAGGACATCAGAGTGATTTGTTTATTTGTAAGAAATTAGTTATAAAATCTCCCACTCTTTCTATAATATATCACTGAATGGGCTCCTTTCATTTTGAAGAATTTTACAAGCAAATCATATACTGACTTTTAATCCTTCAAAACACAATATGTATATTAAATCTTGAGATTCAGACTTTCAGCCTTTTAGGATTTCAGTCTTAAAAACTTTCAGACTTTCAGTCTTTAAAAACTTTCAATCTTGAGGACTTATTATTTTCATATTTATTTTGTAAGTCTTGTCTTTTATGTCATTACGATTGATCCTTATTAATTCAAACTTTTTCATATTTGTAAAACCAGAGTGTGAAAGTACAGTGTTTGTGTAATCTTCTAAATGTTTATCCATAAATACTGCTTTTAATACAGTTAAATATAATTTGTGATGATCAAAATTTCCAACTGAATTCAAAGACAAACTGGCTGACCTATACATATTTAGAATTTCAATATCATACACTCTTGAATATTCATAAATATCAAAATATAATGATTCAGCATTAGCTATCATCCATACACTTGTTAACCTAAGGAAGGCTCTTATCATAAGTTAAACTCATGAAATCCTCATGCAATTTTGAAGAATTTCTGTTATAAGGGATGGTAAAGACAAAAGACCCATTAATTTCCAAGGAGTAATATTGTTTAAAACTATATATCTACACTAAATTAAGGAACATTTCAAAAACCTTTTTTTTCCCCCTTCATAACTCATGAAATTTCATGTAGATAGTGGGTATGATGTGTAAATAATCTTTATGAAAGGAGAATGATGTAAAGTTAGCCGAACCCCCTTTCCCCTCTCCCTTGGGTGTTGGGTGAGGCTAACTTTACATCATTCTCCTTTCATAGCTTCCATGTTGATGACTGTAGAAATAAAAGCATTTTGTTAATATGATGGAGTACTGCATGAAACAATGCATGTTTAAATACAACATGTACAATGCCAAAAAAGATCATGAAAATATTTGTTTTTAATCTCGAAAAATTGTTTTTAACTTTAACTCCAGATGAGAAAAGTTCATCATGTTATTTATAGATAATAAACAAGCACAATTACTGTATTGATATCACAAATAAAATGATTATCAAATTAATTATTTAGACACTAAAAGTCTTTTTATTAACAGCAGATTCAATTTTGGTTTAATAGCTATCAGTAATGCATACAGAAAAATACATATTTTATTTTTTTTTTTTAGCATCATCACAGTACAACATGTAGTCCTTCATTTTTTGAAAAGCTCATTACCAAGAAACAAAAGTGAAAATGAAAATATATGTATACCATATATCACACATATTTAGAATCAAAACAAAAAGTAAATGACTTAGAATTAATCTTTTGTAAATTCCTCCTTTTCTCTTATTAGATTCCTAATTAATATCTCTTTGATCACCATTTAGTAAGTCTGAATTCCATGGGTAACATACATAATGAATTATGAAATTATATCATAATCTATACAAAAGGATTTATTAAATATTCCTAAGATCCCTTGATATATTTTAGGTTAAATAAGGGTGTGTTTATATGAATGTAAGTTAGAGACAACAGATCACATAAGTATTACACAGTAATTAAATTAACCATATAATCATGCTTAAATGCAAAGATGACCTTCATAGGGAATGTAAACAATTAAAAAAACAAACTTACCAGAGATATCCAACTATATGCCCAATAAGCCTATCCATTAAATAATCCAGTGAAATAACATCTCAGCTGATCCTGAAAAAATCATACAATTCAGTGATACACATTTAACCTCATTTTACAATGTAAGTAAAGCAATAATTTACAGACAAAAGGGACAGAAATGTAAAAGATACCATGTATTTTACCAAAATTAAGTGAATATTTTTCTGATTGAAATTCAATCATAGAATGACCCATCATACAAATATTAAATGTACTCTGAGTTACATGCAGGTTTTACAACTGTAAATCACATGAAATGATGATAAATACAGCATTTACATTCAAAATAGAACTTTACATATAAATTATGATTAAATGCAAAGATGACCTTCATAGGAAATGTAAACAAAAATAAGACAAACTTACCTGTGGAATATGTCTGTCAGAAAGGAGATTTCAAAAATGAACACGCTCTCAACATTCACATGACAAGAATACATCAGGATGCTTACTTCCGTGGTCATAGAGAAATTGAGCTTTATACAAGAAAAGCTTTACAGCAGGAAAATCATCATAGTAAAAGAGAGGAAAAACAAAAGATAGTCCTACATTTTCTGAAAATCTAAGTTCACTTCTTAGAAACAAAAGTGAAAATGAAACTTTAATTTTACAAGTGTATGATGTAATAATGCATAGGTAGCTCGCTGACTAGACTGTGTACAAAATCGTACATAGTAGGATCAAAAGGTAATTAAGTCCAACCTATTTTTGCACATGACCCTAATTTTTTGCACAGGGTCCTTACAGGTGATGCAACAGGTATAAAAACGCAGGTAAAACGTATTGATGCACAGGGCCCTTACAGTAAAGGTATATAAGCCATGTGTGTTATTTTTGTTATTGTTTTCAGTAAAAAATCAAGGTTTTTATTGTTTTCAGTAAAAAAATCCAGTTTGAACCGGTTAGGCTAGGCTGGCTAGACTGTGAAGGGTGACGTCATAATCAAATTCTTGAGTCGCTGACAAAAATCGTAGTAGCAGCGTATATAGTATAATGTAAACACAGTGTAAACACCCCCCCGTATTTAGGGGGCTATATGTACTGAATTGACCAGGCTATCCCCCAGGGGCTGCACTCTCTTGACCCACCTATCCCCCCCCAGGGGCTGCACTCAGTTGACCCACCTATCCCCCCAGGGGCTGCACTCAGTTGACCCACCTATCCCCACAGCCCCAAAAGTGCACTCAGTTGACCCACCTATCCCCCCCAGGGGCTGCACTCAGTTGACCCGCCTATCCCCCAGCCAATCAGAATCCAGCATTTTTTACCTCATTTGCATAAAAAGTGCACTCAGTTGACCCGCCCGGCCAGACGCCTTATACTACTGATAATGTGCAATCAAATTTAAGTGTAATATATTACGATCAGAGATGTGATTTTTAATTGACATGTTAAATAGTTGTTGATCGTGTCGTTTACCATGTGCTGATTTTAAATACTTTTGTTACAGGTTTATCTTATTGTGTATATATTCGCAAATAAAGATCTTCCAAAAGAACCCAAGCAGCTGATCCTTGTTTGTTATTGGGAAACATAAGCTATTTTGACGAAGGGAGGAGCTAGCTAGGTCATAACGAGAAAAAGTAAATGAATAAATAAAAAGTAAAATTAAATGGAAAAAAAATTTCCATGTATACTTTCCGACATTTTCTACATACAGAGAATGGATTGGATATAATAGACGGGTTTGTTAACACTTGAAACTCTTTTGAGAATTAATACATGACTGATTATTTATTAAAAACCAAAGTATGACTGGTGTCAGCCGCAAATATTTGCCTAAGACTTGTTTTTTTAACTTACATTTTAGAACTTCAAACTTTTAGCTCAGATTTATGAAAATCACATAGGGTAAAATTCCTTGTGATTTAAATATGACGTAGTATTTGGAAGAAAACAAAACGTGCTTGTGAAACACTGATTCTAAGGATCCAGGGATGAAAATGGTGATACCAAAAGAAAGGAAAGGACTTATTTTCAATGAATATACCTGTGAAATATTACGCTAAAGCTCAATCACTGACTTACGTAGAAAGTGTCTGCTGTTAAATCTTTTATAGTTATTATTCATTATAAAATGTTACGTATTGTTTAAATTAAATTAAGCGCCAACCACAAAAAGTTAATTCTAATACGGTTTACTATAACATATTATATATTGTTATACCTTTAAAAGTTTAATTGTTCCTATACAAGTCTATACAAGACAAGAGATGTTTGTAAAACACTTATCCCTCCCCCTCCCCAATCTTTGCATTCCCACTTAGCCAAAATTCTGAAATTCCTATTCCCACTTAGCCAAAATTGTTATTTTCACACCTGAGTGGTCACCTGTGTATAGTCTGTTTTAGACTGATTACCTGTAATTTACCTGTAATTTTCACCTGAGATGTATACATTTACCTATTTCCTTATATATAAAAGTAGTATAAGGCGCCTAGCCTGCGAGGTCAACTGAGTGCACTTTTTATGCAAATGAGCTCAAAAATCGTGGATTCTGATTGGCTGAGCCCCTGGCCGGGTCAACTGAGTACAGTCCTAACCCTAACCTAACCCTAACCCTTAACCCTAACCCTAGCCCCCTAACCCTAACCCCTAACCCTAACCCTAATCCCCTAGCCCTACCCCCTAACCCTAACCCCCTAGTCCCTAACCCTAATCCCTAGTCCCTAACCCCTAACCCTAACCCCCTAGCCCCCTAGCCCCTAACCCTAATCCCCTAACCCTAATCCCCTAGCCTTAACCCCTAACCCTAACCCCCTAGTACCTAACCCTAATCCCTAGTCCCTAACCCCTAGCCCCTAACCCTAACCCCCTAGCCCCTAACCCTAACCCCCTAACCCTAATCTTAGGGGCCTAGGTGGGTCAGTACACAGTCCCTAAATACGGGGCGCTTACCTGTACAGCTTTTTTGACTATACGCTGCTACTACGATTCACAACGCTGGTACTACGATTTTGGCAGCGAGTCAAGAATGTGATTATGACGTCACGTTTTCATATTATGACGTCACGTTTTCATTCACAGTCAAAGCCTAGCCGGTTCAAACTGGATTTTCCGAAAACAAATAACAACACAATACAGACAATAACAATGCAATTTTATTCAGAATCAATACATACATACACATAAATTTACTTTTTCTTCTTCTTCTGGGCCTTATCGGTCCTCAAGGACAGTTTCCTCTTGTTGAGCTTGGTCACTGGCCTCCTGAGTGTCCCACAAAACAGAAGGATCTGTGCTATCGATGTCGAGAAATAGGACATGGTGTCAAACAATGTCCACAAAAGAGAAGACAAGTCTCTGCCTTTTCGATCTTGGGAAGTTTCCTCTTGTTGAGCTTGTTCACTATCCTCCTGAGTGTTCCAGAAAACAGCAGGATCTGTGCTATCGATTTCGAGAAATAGGACACTGTGTCAAAGAATATCCACAAAAATAGAAGATAAGGAGGTTAATGCCATCAACACCCTCAAAAAATAGGAGAAGAGATCATCCCAGTAATCCATTTGAAGAGTCAACCAAACAGAAGGGCGCACACTCTGACATATTTTTCAAGTCTGTCGAGTTCCAAGTGCTCACGCAGAGTGATCCTCAATGTCCAGCGCTGGTTTATATACGGTTTGGTTTGTTAAGGGTCGTGTGCAAAAATAGGTTAAACTTACGTTTTGATCGTACTGTGTACGTCTCTGTACACGCTCTAGTCAGCCACCTTACCTATGCATTGTGACGTCATCCACTGTATAAATACGGGTTTTCTCCGACTTTGGGTCATTCTACAGTCAGAGCCATCAGCTGTTGGACATGGATTCTACTAGAGAAAAACAGTTACATGCTCAGCGATTATTAGAATGGAAAAAAAAAAGAAAAAGAATTCTTTATGAGGGAGAGCAAGAATTAGATTCAAAAAAATTTATGAAGAAATTAGAGCAAACGAAATAACAACAACAACAACAACGCTTACGGAAAAAGAATGCAAATTCTTGAAATATAAAGAGAGAATTAGGCTCTAAAAGAAATGCCAGACAACAACAACAACAGAAAAACAACAACAGCATCAACAAAGGACTAGGGCGCATGAGGGGTCAAAGTCACCTATTCATTCACCACCCAAACCCAAGGCCATTTCCCAGTATTATCAGATGAGTCTGAATAGAAAGGGTGCACTCATCAAAAATTTAAAGCTCAGGAAAATAAATATATTGTGAATTTCAAAGAATTTCCAGAGGAAGAAAACACAGGATTCGTTCGGCGATTATTCAGAGACATGTTACAAACTTTCAAATCGAAAATGCAGTGTAATCCTAACGATTACCTCCGCCTGAACATACGCCACAAATCTCTGGAATCAGAGATTTGGTACGAGTTTACGCAATGTAAACATTTTAACGAGGACGTCATTTTAGACAAGATTGAAGCCGTGCAACAATCCAAAAGGAGTTCAAACTGGGCGACGGCATGGAATTCGATCTGTTTCACGTCAAGTATCCCGAGGGAAGTGGTGGAGACAGAACCAAACATTTACAAGTGAATAAGGAGACTTTCAAGAACAATAAAAGAGCCATCGTTCGGATCGTCAATCCCTGGGATAAATTTTGTTTAGCTAGAGCCATCGTCGTCACTCGATTACACAGTCAAAAACCCGAACATCCAGACCCCGAATGGGAAAAACAATGGAAACGCATGAGGAAGGAGATTTTAAATCCTTGGACCAGAAACCAAGCCATAGCCCTCATGGAACAGGCCGAGTGTGATATCACTCAAGCTTGTGGATATGCAGAGTGGACGAAATTACAACAGGTGTTAGCTCCTCAGTATCGACTGAAAATATTTCAGTTCAAGTCTACTTCGACTAAACTCTGTTTAGAGCCTATCTACAAAGGTTGGGGAGACGGAACTTATTTGAACATTTTGTTAGACGACCATCATTACGATGCCATCCTATCGATGCCGGGAGTAACGGGGAACCAATATTACTGTGATCATTGCGACGTGGGGTACAGTCATGTCACAGACCATCGGTCCAAGTGCCCTCATCGCTGTAAATATTGTTTAGGACAACCCTAAATGTCCCGAAAGAAGGGATCACATTAAATGTCGGGAATGCCATGGAATTTTTAAAAACAGGACCTGCTACGAAAATCATATAAGACCTCATAGTAAGAAGACCACCACTACTGTCTGCAATTTAATGGGACTATGCGAGAAGTGTCAGTCCTGGATGCCTAAGAAATTATTCCCTCATCACAAGTGCGGAGGACAGAAACAGTGTAAGATCTGTAAGAAAATCGTCGATGCCGATCATCAGTGCTACGTACAACAGAAGCCCCAGAAGAAGAAGAAGAAGGGGAAAGACACCTTACAGTTTTACATTTATTTCGATTTCGAATGCACTCAGGAAACCGGCATTCACATCCCTAATCTGTGTGTGGCACACCGCGTCTGTCAACATTGCAGTCACTTACCCATAGACCAACCCTGTCCTCATTGTCAACACATGGGACCCCGTCAGCACCTATTTCAAGGACCAGACACCTTAAAGAAGTTCATGGACTGGTTATTACAACCCACTACAGGTACTAAGAATTCCACTTTAGTACACGACGAGGCCATCATCATCGCCCATAACTTCAAAGGCTACGACGGACAATTCATTTTGAATCACCTGGTGCATT